GAGCCGCTACCCACGAAGCCCTCCCGTGCCCTCCCCACCCTCCCCACCCTCCCTGCTCCCCGAGGTCCAGCTCAGCCCAGGGCCTGGCGCCACTCACCTCCCTCAGAGGCGGCGTGACCTGTCTCTGTCCTGCTTCTCTCCCCCTTCTCGGTTAATCATTTACCTTTTAAGAGTGTTACGTGTTTCTGGCAAAAAATCAAAACCGAGGAAGAGAGGATGCTGGGCATGGAGGGAAGGTTGTACCTCCAGGGCCCTTACCCCAGGCCTGCTTCCCAGAGGTGACAACTGTTAACCATTTCCTGTACCCAGAAATTCTCTATTCACATGCAAACATGTTTTATATGTTTGTATATATATTGTGTTTATACATATATAAACATTTATTATGTGTTTGCCCGAACTTTCACTGAAATGAAGCCATTTCTTTATTTTAGAATGAGCACAGGAGGGTGGGGGCGGAGAGGGGGGAGGGGGTGCAGAGGGAGAGGGAGAGAGAATCCAGGTCGACTCTGCACTGAGCGTGGAACCTCATGCTGGGCTGGATCTCACGACCCTGAGATCACGACCCTGGCCGAAACCAAGAGTCGGACACTCAACCGACTGCACCACCCAGGCGCCCCAGTGGAGCCATTTCTATACACATGCTTTTGCAACATGCGTTTTCACTTAGCGAGGTATTTCGAAGAGCCTTCCTTACAAGTACACACCTCTTTCTCTCACGCAAACCACACGTGAATGGTAAATAAATACGTCCCAGCGTGGGATGCCCCCATAATAAAGTCCAGACCCCTTGATGCTCTCCATGAACTGGCTTCCACGCCTGCCTCTGCCTTATCTATTCATTTCTATACTTTACCCCTTGTACACCCCCATTTTCCCCCAATTGAAAAAGTAATAGACTTTTACCTTAAAACATAAAAAAAAAAAAAAAAATCACTAGTAATCCCAATAGAGGTATCTTGTCTTGCATTTTTCCAGCTTATTTTAGGATGGGCATAAATAAGATCACACTACAAACTTGTAGTTTTATTATCTGTGTTTTAAATTCAACCCATCACGGATGTTTTCCCACATTATGAAATATTCTACTTTTATATCTGCTAAGTCTTATGGCGAATGAACAAGAGCTCCTACAGTGTAGTTATGTACCAGTTATAATTCATCCTCCATTGCTTCATAACTTTAATGAAGTCTTTGTTATTGTTTTTATTTAAAAAATCATGCTCATGACAGAAATACCTTAAGAGCCTTGAACAGCCAGGCATCATTTAAGAAATCACAATCCGGGCGCCTGGGTGGCTCAGTTGTTAAGCGTCTGCCTTCAGCTCGGGTCATGATCCCGGGGTCCTGGGATCGAGCCCCACATCGGGCTCCCTGCTCAGCGGGAGGCCTGCTTCCCCCTCTCCCACTTCCCCTGCTTGTGTTCCCTCTCTCACTGTGTCTCCCTCTGTCAAATAAAATCTTTAAAATAAATAAATAAGTAAATAAAAACAAAAAATAAAAAATCACAATCCAAGGTCATAAACAGTGTTGAGTGAAAGAAGCCAGTCACAGAGGAATGCCTACAGCATGATCCCTGTTTTGAAAAACAGGCAGAATTGAACCAAGATGCTTGGGGGTTCATGCTAAGGTGAAAAAAGATAAAAGACAAATAAGGAAGTGATAATGTTATATATCTTAAACCAAGTGGTGTCTATGTGGTTATTTGCCCTGTGATAATTCATTGAGCTGTACACTTAGATTTTGTGTGCTATGCGATTCTTCACAATACAAATAGTTTTAAAAACTCATAATCCCTCCAACCCAGTTAAAAATGTCTCTTACTAACTTAGCATACAGACTTCCAGTTCTGCTTATATCCATGATTATATGTACTATTTTGTAACTTACTGTTTGTACTTGATATATTGGGGACATCTTCCTTTTGGTTACATTATGTTTTAATGGTAATTAGAATGGATGTAATCAAAAAGGTGAAACATATCAACTGTTTGAAAAGAGATAGAGAAACTGGAACCTTCATGCAGTGCTGGTGGGAATGCAAATGGTGGAGCCACTAGGGAAATGGTTTAGCACTTTCTAAAAAGTTCAGCAACACTTACCATATGCCCCACTAGCCCCACTCTAGGTGTCTACACAAGAGAAATGAGAATGTATACCCATACAAAATATTACATAGAAATGTTTAGAGCAGCACTATTCATAATAGCCCGAACTTGGAACTGATCCCAATGTCCAAAAACTTAAAACTGTGGCCTATCCCTACAATTGAATAGGACCCAGCAATGAAAAGGAACAAACTATTCATACATGGCAGGACATGGGTGAAACTTAAAACATTATGCAAGTGAGCAGAGCCAAACACAAAATATTACACCATGCTCGATTCCAGCCATATATTGAACATTAGCACATAGCTCCATCGCATGGATATAGCATAACTTATTTAACCAAGCTCAGTTGTTGGACTTGACCGTGTGTCCCATTTTTCAGTATTACGAACAGTGCCATCATGACCACTTTATGACTAAATATTTGTGGCCGATCGTAATTATTTCTTTGGACGAGTGCCCCAAAATGGAACTGCCTGTTTG